ATTGGAAGTTCATCCGGTTTTTCATGTATCTATGCTCCGGAAGTATCATACCGACCTGTCACATGTGTTGGACTTCAGCACAGTTCAGCTAGATAAGAGTTTGGGTTATGAAGAGGAGCCAGTTGCCATTGTTGATAAACAGGTTCGCCAGTTGAGGTCCAACAGGATTTCTGCAGTAAAAGTCCAGTTGAGGGGCCAACCAGTCAAGGAAGCGACTTGGGAGGCCGAGGAAGACATGCGGAGCAAATATCCACACTTATTCAGCACTCCAAGTACAATTCTAAACCCGTTCGAGGACGAACGTTTGTTTAAGAGGTGGAGAATGTAATGACCCAACCGGTCATTTTAACTTTTAGAACCCCATTCCCTAAAATAAAATTTTTCATATGTGCTTTTAATGATTATTGACTTGCGGGAATGGTTGGCTCGGGATTTGAAAGTGTTTGGGTTGAAATTGGAACACTTGATTCCATAAGTTAGCCTTAAAAGGCTAAGTTTGACTTCGGTCAACATTTTGAGAAAACGACCCCGGAATCAGGATTTGACGGTTCCAATAGCTCCGTATGGTGATTTTGGAATTAGGAGCGTATTCAAAATTTTATTTGGAAGTCTGTAGTTAAATTAGGTTTTAAATGGCTAAAACAAGAATTTAAGTTTGAAAGTTTGACCGGGGAGTTGACTTTATGATACCGGAGTCGGAATCCAATTTTGAAATTTTTCATAGCTCCGTTATGTCATTTATAACTTGTGTGCAAAATTTGAGGTCAATCGAACTTGAATTGATAGGTTTCGGTACCTAATGTAGAAGTTGAAAATCTTAAGTTTCATTAAGCTTGAATTGGAGGATGATTCATAGTTTTAGCGTTGCTTTGTGTGATTTGAAGGTTCGACTAAGTTCGTATGATGTATTGGGACTTGTTGATATAATTGGTTGAGGTCCCGAGGGGCTCGGATGAGTTTCGGACGACTAACGGATCACTTTTAGCCTTTGGGAAACTGCTGATAGCTGTTGGTATTTTTCTTCTGATTTCCTTATACGCGATCGCGTAAGTTGGTCTGCGATCGCGTAGATTAATTTGGACAGAGTGGATTTATTCTACGCGATCGCGTGGATACGTCCGCGATCGCGTAGGTTGGGCCAGTGTGTGTATCGCGATCGCGTGTCATTGCTTGCGATCGCGTAGGGGAAATTAAAAAGGAAGCTGGGCCACGCGTTTGTGCTACGCGATCGCGTGAAGAGGGATACAATCGCGTAGAGTTGGAACCTTGTGCATCGCGATCGCGTGGCACTTTATGTGATCGCGTAGGGTTATTTTCTGGGCAGAAAAATTTGTGCTACGCGATCGCGTGAGGAAGTTCGCGATCGCGTAGAAGGAATCACTGGGCAGAGAGTTTAAGTTCTGAAAATAGGACTTCGTCCCATTTTTCATTTTTAACGATTTGGAGCTCGGATTTGGATGATTTTTGGGAGATCTTCAGAAAAAATAACGGGGTAAGTGTTCTTAACTCAATATTGGTTAAATTACCCGAATCCATCACTGTTTTTATCATTTAATTGGTGAATTGAGTTGGAAAAAGTTTGAAAACCCTCTTAGATAGATTTGAGGATTTGAGGGCCGAATTGTTATCGGAATTTAGTAATTTTGGTATGTGTAGACTCGTGGTTGAGTGGGCGTTCATATTTAGTAACTTTCACCGAATTCCGAGACGTGGGCCCCACAAACGATTTTTAAATTAATTTTGAACTTTTATTGAAAAATGTAGTATTTTCTTATAGAATTAATTCTTATAATTTTTAGTGACTGTATCGAATTATTTTGGCTAGATTCGAGCCAGACAGAGTTGGATAATCGTGGAAAAGCCTTCTAGTGGATTAAATTGGAGCAAATTAAGGTAAGTCTCTTGTCTAATCTTGTGAGTGGAAAATTACCCCATAGGGATTAAATTAAATAATTGTTGCTAATTGCGGGGGGCTACGTACGCACGAGGTGACGAGAGTCCGTGCGTAGCTACTATTAATGCTAAAGTTCGGGTAGTTTAGGACTCAGAGTATGAATTACTTGTGTAAATTGTATCCTTTATTAATTAAATTATTTGATGTATATATTGTGAATTGTTATGAAAGGTAGTAAAAGATGAAATTTTCATATGCTTAGTTTTTGTTTAGATTAATTAATTGTCGAGATAAATTGTTATCCTCTCGAATAAATTTTTCAATAAATACTCTCATTCCGGAGGTACATAAGAAAATGTCCCCCTTTCTTGTGGAGCGGGCCGAACGCCTCGGCAGGATAGATGCATCTATGGATCGTGCCGCACGTCCCTCGGCATTGTACACGAAACTCTAGATCGGGCCGTACGACCTCGGCAGAAATCGTGCTTAATAATAATTATTATTATATAATACTTGAATAGTTTATTACAGCTTATAAAGCTATTTGATAAATTGAAAATTTATTGAGATTAAATTGCAGCTTGTAAAGCTATTTGATAAATGAAAATTTTTTATTGAAATTAAAGGATTTAATTAATAGATTGGAAATTATTGCATTTGAAGGATTTTTATTATTTCTGCTAATTGAATAAATATATTATTAACTCTGTGAATCATGTTGATTTGAATAATTATAATTTATTCCATTTATTATTGTTGACCTTTAGTGAGTGTCAAAGTCGGTCATCTCGTCTCTACCACTTCGAGATTAAGCTTGATACTTACTGGGTACACATTGTTTACGTACTCATGCTACACTTGTTGTACTTTTTGTGCAGGATCTGAGTCAGATACTAGTGGAAGACCTATCATCGCACATCCTCGTTATCCAGGGGCGTAGTGGTGAGCTGCCTTTCTGAGCCGTCCTGCAGCTACCAGTGCCTCTTCTTGTATTATTTTTATTCTGTCTATTTTCATTTCAGACAGTATTTGGAGTTTTGTATAATCTACTAGATGCTCATACACTTGTGACATCAGGTCTTGGCACACACATTGGTAGAATTTGGTGTCTTATTATTTTCTTGAATTGAAATTTTATCGATATATGTTTAATTTATTAGTTGGCTTACCTAGTTATAGTGTTGGGCGCCATCACGACCTATAGGTGAAATTGGGTCGTGACAATTATATTCACTACTTCACTCTTATATTTATCGTACGCTTTATATTACTACGGTCACCTACTATTTATTTTTTTATTAAAAAATTAATGACTTTAAAAATATTTAAATGAACAATTAAGTGGATAGTTCCACGTTGACTTGTCTAGCAGCGACATTGGGCGCAATCACCCCTATAGTAGAAATTGGGTGGTCACATATTTTACCAAAATCTTCTTCGTCATTCCTACTAACATCGGAAATATATTGACGTTCCCTTTTCCTTTAATCTTCTATACCAACTTCTATTTCTGTTTATTGGGTTGAGTTTTTGTATTAGAAGAAATTTAAAAGTACAACTTTGATTTATAGTTGGCACTGTTCTTGAGGGTAGAATTTATTTTTAACAATTTACACCACGTGGAAAAACTACTATCCTAAAAATATTAGCGCACAATCATTTTACTTTTTTTCTTTATTTATAAAAATCTCTTGCATCATTTCACATATATATGCAATCATCTTGACCTCGACAAACAAGTCAACTTACAATAAATCACATTGATCATTTACATAACCTTGTACTTTATTCTTTCGAGTATAATCATTTACTCAAATCTTTATCTTAATAATATTGATATTATTTTATAAAACCATATAATGCATGAATCGACATACATGTGCAATGCACGTGTCGAGAAACTAGTCTAATATTAATTATATCAAGATCAAGAATATACGTATATTTATTGGCTTGAGAATTTATTTTATTAAGTCAATATAAAATTTAGGCGAATTTGCATATATACTTAGTTTTGGGGTCACTATTGAAGTTATACTCGTATTGCACAAAAATTTGTAAGTTTAGCCATCTTAGGATTAACTTTAGACGTCTGAAGTTGAAAAAAATCACAATCTGAAGTTGCAAACTTAAGATGCATTTAAGACTGTTTTAATCTGAAGTGCGACTAATTTTTGCATGCACTTGACACTTTTTTAGTTTGAAGTGCAAAACTTGCACTTAAGATGCACTTAAGACTTAATTGGTCTAAAGTATAGCTATTTTTTGCATGCATTTAAAAATATTTAGTCTGAAGTGCAAATTGCCCAGAAACAAAAATTTATTCTTCGAATTTCAACAATCCAACACACAATTCAAGACCCAAATCTACTCTAAATGAGCCCAAATTTAAAAACATAACTTTTAAATATCATAAAAAACAAATCTCAATCATTAATTTGTCAAAACAACAACAAATCTAACAAAGGAAAAATCTAATGATACTCATTATGATGCATACTCAGTCGCTAGTTGTAGTATTAATCAAGAGTAATGCAAAGGGAAATTAACGTTTGATAACAGCAATTATAATTCTAGAGCAATGCACAATTCCTTTAACAGTACCCTTTTTTTTTTTTTTTTAGAGAATGTTAATAAATTCTAAAATTCATTTTGCCGTCCAGTAGCGACGCCTTATAATGCAATCGCATTCTCTGGTCCAATTGATGTTTTTGTTTCTGAACTAAACGACTGCTAAGAATATTTGTAACACCGCTTTCCTTGATCAACATACTGTCATATAAATCCACGTTTAAGGAATATTCCCTTTAAATTTATCCTCATAACTTCTCCTGACAAACTGAGAGTGCATTCGTGATGCCTCTCATCTACATCAGAGATGAACTTTTAATTGCATATAAATGCCGTGAAGATCAAATTTTCTTATCTAAATAGATTTATTTACTAACTTCAAAGATTTTAAATTCGTGATTTGAAAGAAACTTTTCTGATGAATGGTTTCTCTACCTGCAATACGTAGGTATCCTGCTCTAATAGCCTTTCTCCAACCGCATCCTTGACAACTTCTTAAACCAAAGTGAACAAAAGAATAAACAAAAAGTATGAATTCAAACTGTTAACTTCAGCTTCTCCATTTTGCTTCTTTCAAAGTCGACAGTAAAACCAATAAATGTCAACTGTTCACTGATCGCCACAATCTACAAATGTATTTTTTTTTTTTATACCTAACTAAAGCAGTGTCTTGAATCCCCGAAACTTACAATCTCACATCTAGAACTTCTTCTTGTCTACAAGGCAAAACATCCAGCATAGTTTTACAATAACATCTATCAGGTAATCAAAATTAAGCAAGCATATCACTGTTTTGCAGTTTCAAAGTTCCACCCATAGGCAACAGAAGGTTACAAATTTTAACTACAACTTCATGAATCCACACCTAGTTCCCAAACCTGCTGGTAGCTTCCTCATATCAGAAAAGGTAGTACCTCCTATTCAAATCTCACCAAGATACATCTGTCTATCACTACTGCAAGATCCCACAATTGGTTCATTAGGATGAAAAACACATTCATTAACAGATCCAGTGTGTCCAGGGAGCTTATACAGAATGCGCCTAGATGTCGTATCCCAGATATAAACCATGCGATCAGAACTCCCAGCTGTTACCTTACTTCCATCAGGTGACCAGCTACATTTCATCAGGTTCTTTTCAAAATTGTGTTGGTGGCCTTCCAAGATCTTAACACAGCGATTTTGGGGGGCATACGGACGCATGTCCCATATGCGAAGTGTGCAGTCCATGGCATTAGTAAGAAGATAAGACCCATCAGGACTCAGCTGCATACCAGTTATAGTATCCTGATGGCCCTGAAGAGTCATAGTTACTTCACACCTTCGCAAATCCCACACTTTCACATCATTGTCAATACCACCTGAGTAGATTTTATCGGAGGCATCAGAGAAACTGACGGCAGTAATTTGAAATTTGTCTGGAAATGTCTGTATGGCTCCTCTTTGGCGCATATCCCAAAGTTTAGCAGTGCCATCATCAGATCCACTGACAATAAGTGGAGGGCCCCTCCGAGCTGGGCAGCATGAATTCACAAATGAGGAATGTTCGGCCATTTTTTTAATCTGTTTGCCTGTTTCTACATCCCACGCCCTAACAGTCTTATCGGGGCTGGCTGATACTATTGTCGATCCATCAGTAGTCCATTGAACATCAAGAACTGCATTTTTGTGCCCTTTCAAGACCATAAAATTCTTGCAATCACCATGTACATCCCAAAGAAAGATTTCTTTATCATGTGAACCAGATGCAATGGTTGTCCCTGCTGGATTGAACTTCATGGTATACACAGCACTTTGATGTCCAGTAAGCAACATAATTGGTGACTCCAAGCTTGATGTCCGTGGTTTTCCATTTGGTCCAAGCCCTTGAGGACAGCTAGGAGGCACAGCAGACAACCCCATTGGCCTTGGTCCAATAACTGACAAAGCACTTTCAGTTTGCATTTTGCCTTCGCTTGCACCTGAAAAGTTTCTAGAAAATTCAGCTAACCAATGCAAAAAATATAATAGAAACATAAGCTACAGATACAGAAGTACAAAGTTATTATAGAGCTCCTTGCCCAGACAATTTGATTATCTGTTAGAGCGCGCGCGCACCCACAACTGTGCGAGCGAAACAAACACACACACACACACACACACACACACACATACATATCCCAAACAATACATTGAAGGATGTAGGTTAGCATTGTACCCACATTTCAATTCTCCAAGATACCCCAGACAATACATGCCAGCACATTAAAGATGAGGGCGTTTTTTCTTTAACCCAAATTCCCCAATTTTCCAACTGCATTTTGCTCCCAGCAACATTTATCTCCAACCTCTCTCTACAACACTTCAGGCAAGCAACAGAGAGCAAAATCTCCAATGTCCATCATTTCTCAAATTCTACTAAGTCTTTAGTGCCTCTATTTTATATTCAGATTATGGTGTACATAATACTTTTTGCTTTCTGATTATGATGTCCAACAATTGCTCTGTTTGATTATTTCAGATAGATTTCAAACATCTCTTCTTCCCCATTTGGTTTATATTTCTCTTCAATCATTGAACAAATGCAGTATCAAATAAAATAAATCCACATCTTTATGGTTCTTTATTTGTCATTTTTTTTAATTTTTTACCAAACCCAGCAACACTCACTTTGTCAAGAATAAAAAGAACAAAGGTGGAGGCTGTCGGAGAAGAAATTTGGGACTGGGTTCGCTGGAGTTTAATCAGAATGGGAGAGAAACACAACGGAACTACGGAAGGAGAGGAAATTTAGGGATTTGGATGAAAGACAAAAATGCCCTAAACTTTAATGTGCTGGCATGAATTGTTGGGGGTATTTGGAGAATTAAAATCTGAGTACAATGCTGTTCACTTTTTGATTCATTAAAATACCCTCTGTCACTTATTTAATCCGTAAATAAATCTTGGAGCTTTTTGTCTTTGTATACTAATCAGAAAAATGCAGTTCATCTTTTGCCTGTATAATTGCAGCCCTTTTTCCCATTGCACATCTTGAAGGCAACTAAACGCCCCAAGATATTCTTCAAGAATGAGATTTAAATCAAACCCATGCTGAATAGAATTTATGAATAATCTGTGTTTGGGTATTTTTTGTTCTTCGCAGGAAAAGAGCAAAAGAGAAAGGCAACTCAGTATAGTGAGACCTCAAATTCAGCCCTCACTACTTCATAACACTCTGTACTCTCAAATGAATTAAACCCAAAAAGCAGAATTAAAATTGTGACAAGCGGTAGTGTGTTCGATAGTCGTCAAATTTCTCTTCATATTTACCTTGCTACCCCATCAAAACGTACTGAGCTGATGAATACAGGAAGCCAACAAGCGGGGATTGTTGAACTTTGCCGGAGGTGGAGGATGACGAGAAGATTGAGGCAGCAGCCTGAAGGGTTGGGTTTGCTGCAGTTAATCTGGGAATAAAATGCAGATGGAGCAGAAATAAATTCGGGGATATAGGTAAAAGACAAAAAATCCCCTAAATATTCCTACTTTAAAGTGGTGGCAGGGGTACTTTAGTGAATCGAAAAGTGGTTACAATGCTAACTTACTACAGCCACGCAGTAGTAAAATGGGTACAATGCTAACCTACTACTTTCATGCTACTACATGAAGGTAGTAGGTTAGCATTGCACCCATTTTTTGTCTCTCTTAAATACCCTTTTACAATACATTGCCAACACAATAGTAAAATGGGTATTTTTGTCTTCCCATCTTAAGAACTAAACCTAACTTTTCTTCCTTCTCCATCAGTTTGCTTTCCAGCCATCCCCGCCTCCCCTCCTTTCTTTCAAACCCATATTGAAATTCAATCACAACCGTTGAAAATTTGACCCAAAAAAAAAAGAACACAGAAAATGATTCAAGGCCTAATGAATGATCATGATTATGGAAAGGAGACTAAACCCATTTGGCCATACACTAATGTGGTCTTTGGGGAAGTAATCGAAGAATTTGAGAAATTGGGGAAAAGGTTTAGGACGAATTGGTTTGCTTCAACTAAAAAAGAACCAGTTGGAGTACTTGAAAATGAAGCGAAGACCGAGCATGTTGGCAGACAATGCTTAATTTGTCCAGAGCCGAGATGAAGAGATGCACAGCTTCTAAATTTCAAAGCCATAATTTTTACTTTCTCACTTCGTCTTTATCAATAATGAACAGAAAGAAAAATTATCCAATTACATATTATCACAAGGTTTAATTAAGATCAATCTGATTTTAAACTCTAACCCTGATTTACTATAATACTGGAAAATGAAAAATGTGAGTTAGCAAATGATCGATTCCTTGATTCTCAAATGTGATCTTCCATTTTCAAGAAGTCAAGCCTTCTTCTGTATTAGAATTTGAAGGAGTCTAAGGCCTCATTTGTTTGCACTTAATGGAGGTCTAAATCTTAATCATTCAGATCTCAGACATTAAGTCCGTATGTTTTTAACGTCTGGATCTTTATCATTCAGATCTTAATCATTAAGTGTGTTTGTTTTTTTTACTTCACAACCATTTAACGAGTCTGAATAGGTCTGTATGATTAAGATCTATAACAAAGACTTAATTTCATTAAGATGCTATCATCTACATTCATTACTAACTGCCGCTACCGCCGACCATTATCAACCACCATCACCACCATCCTCAACTATAGCCACCGGCCACCATTATCAACTACCACCACCATCCTCAACCATAGTCGCCACCACTACCACCATCCTCAACCATAGTCGCCACCACTACCACCACCCCCACCACCATTATCCTCAACCATAACCACACCCTCACCCACCTCAACTATCACCACCAACCACCAACCACCCTATCACCATCAATAACCATAGCCAGCACCGCCCACCTATATAAACTACCACCACCTATCATCACCTTTCTCAATCACAACTACAACCACAACCACCACCATCACCCACCATTATTAACTATCACCATCCACCACCACCATCATCAACCATAATCGCTATCGCTACCAATCACCGCTAGCTACTACCCAGAACCACCACCACCCACCGCTTCTAGTCGGCACTCCCAAGCACCTTCGTTAGTAATCACCACCACCAACTAACCCACATATATATATACATATATATATAGAGAATATAAGATTAATTAGTATTTTATTTGAATTTATGTTTTGTTAATTTTTAAATAAAGATAAATTATATATCTTCATATGTTTAAAAAACAAACAGTCTGCATCGTTTAGTATTCAGATCTTAAAACACATGTTAATATTCATATGTGTATTCAGATTCAGATTCCTTAATCTTAATACACATCCTGATATTCAGATATGTATTCAGATTCAGACGTTTTAATCTTAAAAAAAACAAATGAGGCCTAAGAGCCAAACTGTGGAGATAAAATTCAAGTTGGGAATCATAGAGAAAGAATTGGAGAAATTTAAAAAGACCAAAAAGCCCCTAAAAATTCGATATTTAATGTGCTGGCAGAGGTAGTATGGAGAAACCAAAAGTGAGTACAATGCTAGCCTACTTTTTTTTTAAGAGACCAAAAACTTTCTAAAAAGTGTTAAGTGTTGTACCAATCTCCAATTATACAAAAGAGGGGCCAAAATCAAAAGTAAAAACCATGAGCATACAACTAGAAGCTGAAAAACAGACAACTGTTAGCCTACTACCTTCATGTAATTTGGAGAAGCCAAAATATCTTCCAATACTATTTAGAAACAAAATCAGAGGCTTCAATGTGAGAGATATCTCATAATACATTCGAGACTAACGGGAACAAAAAGATAAATCAATGTTTTGCAATCCATGTTGGACAAAGACCACAGGCCTACACATTTTTCCCTTTGATCAAATAGGCTAGGACAAAAGAAAAGATTCAATAGTCATATTTTTTTTATAACTGTGGTGTCTGGGCTAGCTTGCGTGCATCTCGACTAATTTCACACCAGCACAAGTATTAGGTAATTCTACCCACTAAGGCTTGGACAGATACGAAAAAATCACCTGGTGTTTTTATCTCCACTGGGATTTGAACCTGAAACATCATAGTTCTCCACCCACTTCATTGACCACTAGGCCACACCTTTGGGTGCAAGCTCCAACAATCAATTACATGTTTCCCTTAGGTTAAGGGGCACAAAAAGATAAAATCAAACACTTCAAAGTCGATGGTGGACAAAGACCATAGGCCTATTTCCTTTTCATCAAATAGGACCAGACCAAAGAAAGAGCCCCACAATGGATTGCATGATTCTATTGATTGCTTTCCTCACAAAATTGACTAGTGTCAATGACATTCCAAAAGCATGTTAACTAAACTTTAAGAAAAGAAATAATACACTTGAATTAGGGGGAACAAAAAGATAAATCAATGTTTTGTAATCCATGTTGGACAAAGATCACAGGCCTACACATTTTTCCCTTTGATCAAATAGGATAGAACACAAGAAAAGGTCCAATAATCAATTACATGTTGAAATCAACAATAATCAATTACATATTTCGCGTTGGTCAATTAGAGATTCAGGGGCACAAAAAGATAAAATCAAACATTTCACAAAGACCACAGGCCTTTACGTTTCCTTTTCGTCAAATAGGACAGGACTAAAGAAATAGCCCAGCAGTAGATTACATGATTCTACTGATAGCTTATGAATAAATTGACTAATGTCAACAATGCTCAAAGACATTCCAAAAGCATGTGAACTAAACTTGATTAAGAAAAGAAGCATCTTATAAGGATATATGATCTTGATAAGCTAATAAATTAGTTTTCACATACTCCATCAGTAAAGAAATAAGGAATCATCAATCTAATGACTATTTTAGACAAATATTGGGTAAATTTAAAATGATTTTCATAACCTAAGAAGATTATGTTATCATACCCTAAGATAATTATGTCATCATACCCTAAGATAACTATGTTATCATACCCTAAGTCTCTGGTGCTCTGGGTGTAACCTCTATGTCAGAAGTAGAATGACCACTATATATGTACTTATGCAACACAAGTAGTTACAGCTAACTCAGTTTCTCTTCTTTATTTTCTGTTTTCCTCTTTTCCCACATCTATGGAACCATTTACAGTGGGCAATCGAGGAACCAAAATGCTAGTAGACACATACTAGCAAGCACATACCTAGATATTTCTGGATGGCAACATTGCTAAATAGATGAACAAAAGCACTAGGTGTTTTATTAACAATGCACCAGGCAACGTCATCGCTACTTATATCAAGCTCATTTGGAAACAGTGTGATTGTTTCCAACAGTTTACAGTGGGCAATCGAGGAACCAAAATGCTAGTAGACACATACTAGCAAGCACATACCTAGATATTTCTGGATGGCAACATTGCTAAATAGATGAACAAAAGCTCTAGGTGTTTTATTAGCAATGCATCAGGCAACGTCATCGCTACTTATATCAAGCTCATTTGGAAACAGTGTGATTGTTTCCAACAGTTTATCACCCATTTAAGCATTTTTTCACTTCAATATATTTTGCATGTTGAACAGGAAAAATGCATAAATGGGTGAAAAACTTCAATTTTTTTCCACTTCAATATATCGGATGGAATCGTATGATTTGATGGGATTTGAACCATACCACTCTGTTTATTTCTAAAAATCCAAATCTTACTGGCTGTCTATTAAAATGTTTATTTTTCACTAGCAACTGACCCATGATAAGGAGTGTATGTATCAATGGGATGAAATGTGCCTAGAGGGGAGTCAGAGCACAAACACAATGAAAAAATTGACAAAGCTACTATTGCAATGTCTGTAAAATTAACTTATCGAGAAATTCTTTCGTAATAATTGCGCATTGACCGACACAAATCGACAAAGTAGTCCTTTTGGAGGCCAACAAACACTTTGAAGGGGCCACAACCTTTTAGTACACCAAAAATCTACTCAAGGTGCGACCACTCAATATATGGATCAGAAGAACATACATTTTTTCCTCTTAATGAGAGACAAATGAACATACATAGTTTACCCATTATCATTAAATATCCTAATCGCAAAAGCTCATCCATATAAATCCTACTGACTTTGCGCCCAAAAGATAAAAGAAGAAACATAGATTAACAAATTCTTCATTGCCGAAGCTTCTTTTTCCCCAGATTTAAGTCCACGGGATACACTTTTACCAACTTTAGTTTCTGTAATTTCCTCATCAGTCATCGCATGCTACTACCCTTTTTCTTTTAGTCTCTTAAGAGAAAGTAAATCAGCATTAAGTAAACTATCTATAAAAGATTTAGATTAAACAAAGAGCTCTAGAAAATTTAATATTTTAAATTATAAAAAAAAATGATAGTCCACCATTTCCAACTCTAAAACTTGGTGGACAATAGGCCCATCCATCTACCTTCTCCACTTGGATCACCAGCTAGGGTTTCAAACTTTTCATGTGCACCTACTGCACTACCTTTTTCGTTTACCAAATCCCTGGGGCTCTAACAAAGTTAAAACATTCTAAATAACATTTGTAAACTACCCCTCCCCTTTACAGCTTCACTAAGCTTATCATTCTATCCCTTACCACTTGACTCTTAATGAATTTTTCACATTTCACTTCTTTAAAAGTATTCTTTTGTTATGTTGTAATCTTATACAGTAGTACTTTTCTTATTTATATCAATAAGCAAAAAGCAAAATGGACTAGGGCAAACGAAGTAACTAGTTAGTAGACGAGAAAGTTAGTGGTTACGGGAGATATTTCAGTACCACTAGAGAAAAGGAATTAGGGTTTAAGGATTTTTGGCACATGAGAGAAAGAGATGAGGAAATCTAGAAAAGGGAACTTACAATGAAATCTCCGATGAGTTCGCCTGAACAAAGAGAGGGGACAGAGAGAAATAGAGCCAAAGTTAACAGAGGAATGTATTCAAGGAAAAATGAACTATTTGGGCCAAATCCTTCAATACAGACAGATCCAAGCCAATTCATTTATCACGTGCCTCTCACATGACTGATGTGCTCGCTTTTTTAGGTGATATGAACAAATTGGTTACCCATTTTTAGGACTACCATTGAATTTATATTCGTATTACACAAAACTTTATAAAATATACCCGCTTGGATTTGAATTTGTTCAGTCTCTTCAATACAAATTCAGAAATCAAATCTGAAGTTCTCATATCTTTCAACTGCAACTTCAGAAATTCAAATCTTAAATAGTTCAAGCTCTTCAAAACAATTTCAAATTTCGAATCTTAACTTCTTCTATCTTTTAATTTTTTTAATTGTAACTTCAGAAATTCAAATCTCAAGTAATTCAATTTTTCAAGATAACTTTAGACAACTTCATATTCAAAATTTGAATCTTAAGCAGTTCAATTTTTCAATACAACTTCAGACAACTTCAGATTCAATCAATCTTAGCTCCGATCATAAATAAGCAATGAGTCTTCAATTTTCTATAGCACATACCTCATTCTTTTTTAATTTTAGCTATGTGCTCATAATTTATTGAAGAAGAAGAAAAAGGATGAGGAGGACCGGAATAAGTTTAAGTACTGACAATGTATCAATATTTGTAAAACATTTAAAAATAAGGACAAAACTTACATGGATGTCAGGCGGAAGGATACCCAATGAAATTTCTTAATTTTTTGGGGTCTGATCTCTCGTCCTTTCTCTTTTATATCTGTGAAGGTATTCGATATTTGACAGTTTGTAATAAAATTAATGTATTAAACATTTGATATGACGACATTTCAGTTTGGAAGTTCAGGAACAAAAAAAAGTTGTCACCTTAAGTAGATAAGACGACAGATAGAAATTTTAAATGATACATAAATGAGGGAGACTCTCACTACCCGAAATCCACAGGGTCATGATGGCATCTAACACAACCCGTTAGGTAAGTCAAACATCAACTATCTAATTCCAATAAAATTTAATAAGGCAATTAATTAAAAATATATATATAAAACTAATACATTTTCCCCAAAAACTGGTAATACAAATCATGGGTTTCTAAGAATAAAGTTTACAAAGCTGAAATGAAATAAATACACGTCTGTTTGAAAAGTACATAAACAGAGTTTTACAGATCTAAAGCTACCACGAACAAGAGGCAGCTACAACCGGGACACAGGTACATCTTCAATCCAGCTCTTATCGATCACAGCAACATCAGCAGCCAACATCTGCACGCAAGGTGCAGAAGTACAGTATGAGTACAACCGACCATATGTACTCAATAAGTAACAAACCTAACCTTAGGTTGAAAGTAATGACGAGCTAACATAAGGTCGAGTCCAATACCAATATCCCACAACAGTTCATAACAACACAATACAAGTAATAAAAGATGTATCTCAGAAGTAAAATGCTCAGCTCGTTCACAGTTCCAGAAAATAGTCATGTTTTTCAAGTATCTTAGTGAAAACCCAATCTTTTACCGAAAATGTTAAAAATACAAGTAAGTTTGAAAACTCTAATTCTTCCGGATATCCTTTCCACAATAAATAAGATGTGTCATTTTCTTTCCAGATAGCAAGTGTGGAATACCTTTTTATGCCCACATATCAATGTATGTAAAAGTCATGAATGACGTGATACCGTACAGCATGAGGAAAAATGCATCTTTATACCTATATGTCATGTGTGCATGCCAATGCCATGTATCTCAGAGATTAATCATGTACTCACACTCTCAGAGTACTCAATCTCACTGTCTCACACTTTCCTCTCATCGTGCTCAACCACTCGGTACTGTATATGGCCCATACGGCCCAGGGAAGATCCATCCCGGAATATATACATCACTGACCATCAGTCACTCAGTATCGAGGAAGGCCAATCCGGCCCGTGGAGAAGATCCATCTCCAGGTATAAAATGCTTCGGACAAGATCCATATCCAGGGAAGATCCATCCCGGAATATATACATCACTGACCATCAGTCACTCAGTATCGAGGAAGGCCAATCCGGCCCGTGGAGAAGATCCATCTCCAGGTATAAAATGCTTCGGACAAGATCCATATCCAGGGAAGATCCATCCCTCAATAATATCAACCGCGCTCACTGGGGGTGTGTAGACTCCAGAGGGGATCCTACAGCCCAAGCGCTATAATCCGCACGGACAACTCACGTGCCATAATATCAATATCTGGAATCGCACGGACAACTCACGTGCTGCACAGACTACTCATGTGCTATAGTGACAACATCCTCACAAACAGGTCCCGGCCTCACTCAGTCATCAATCTCTCTAGTCCCACTCACGGGCTCACAATGTCATGAAACTAGCCCGACAACAACGATATGATGTATCAATAAATAACTGAGACTGAGATATGATATGAATACATGAATATGACTGAATACGAAATATCAATGAAATCAGAGAGATGGCAGTAAGAAACGACCACTATGGGTCCAAACAATATCGGCATAAATCCTAAACATGATATCTAGCATGATTGTCAGCTCAATTACTTTATCACATGGTGAAAATACGGATATCAACAAAATAGGGCCACTATTTAGTGCCATGGAAATAACAGAGTCCCAATTCACATGGTGCACGCCCACACGCCCGTCACCTAGCATGTGTGTTGCCTCAACACAAATCACATAACATGTATTTCGGAGTTTCATACCCTCAGCACTAAGATTAGAAGAGTTACTTACCTCGAACAAGCCAATACCAATACCGAGCAAGCCAAGCGGTGCTCCAAAGTTGCCATCCCGCGCGTTCCGACCTCCGAACGGCTCGAAACTAACCAAAAACAACTCAAGTACATCAAACAATGTTAAAGGAACCAATCCCGATCGAAAAAGATCAAATCTTGAATCAAAAGCCCAAAATCGGCCAAAAGCCCAACCCGAGCCCGCACCTCGGAATCCGATAAAATTTATAAAATCCAACAACTCATTCCATTACGAGTCCAACCGTACTAGTTTCATTCAAACCCTACTCCAATTCGATGTTCAAAACTCATAAATTTATATTATGAAACTTTAGGCCAAAACCCCCAATTTTCTCTTTAAAATTCACAATTCAATTACCAAAAACGAAGGTAGATTCATGGAATAAGATCAAAACCAAGTGTAGAACACTCACTCCAATCCTTGTGATGAAAATTGCTCCAAAAGTCGCCTAAACCGTGCTCCAAAATTCGAAAATGGGTGAAAAATCGCGAACCCTCGAACTTAAAAGGTTCTGCCCAGTCAATCCGCATCTGCGGACAGTATTTGCGCACCTGCGCCTCCGCTTGTGCAAGCAAAACATCGCATTTGCGGACTTCACTTGCCTGCCCAGTTTGCGCATCTGCGAGGACAACATCGCATTCGCGAGGCCGCATCTGCGGGAAAGACATCGCAGATGCGAAAATCCTCAACTTCCAGCCATCTCGCTTATGTGCCTAGTGCCGAAACATAGCAAATCAATCCGGAATGACTTCAAATTTTGCGCACAAGTCCCAAATAACATAACGAAGCTATTCTAATTCCCGGAATCACAATCCGAATCTGCTATCAAGAAGTCCACTCCCGGTCAAACTTTCCAAAAATTCTATTTTGCCATTTCAAATCGAATTCCACGACGGACCTCTGAATCATAATTTGGACGCGCTCCTAAGTCCAAAATCACCCAACGGAGCTAACAGAACCATCAAAACTCCGTTCCGGGTTCAAATTCACAAAAAGTCAAACTTGGTCAACTCTTCCAATTTAAAGTTTCGACAATGAAATCCATTCTTCCAATTCGATTTCGAATAACTTGAAAATCAAAACCGGCGATTCACATAAATCATAATGCATCATACGGAGCTACTCATGCCCGTAAGCTACCGAGTAAAGTGCAGATGCTCAAAACGACCGGTTGGACCGTTATAGATACAATGCCCAGTTGCATTTAGACGAAGCAAATTTGACAGAATATTTAATTAGAACATTATTTGCCTTCCCTTGTATTAAAAAAGGTAAACTTTGAACTGTTACTATTCCATGTAAGCATTCCATATTGACTTATTCTCGCTATATATATGACATAAACTCGCTTTCGAATTAAATAATTTACATTCTCTACGTAAACCATATCTGGATATGTATTAAATCTCGTTAAGTCATGGGTTATTTCTCTAAACTGCCATATTATATTATCACATTTGACGATGTGTCTGCATTTTCCTTTGGGAACTTGATATAACCGTCACAATTTAAAAGAAATATAATAAATTCGTAGCATGAAATCCAATATTACAGTTGTGGCAGGAAAATATTTATATTTGTAGCACATAGTTCCATTAAAATAGGAATATTAATTATTAATCTCTAAACATAAGCAATTTGAATGGAAAGTCAATAATTCTTTGTATAAAAATCATGCCTTTTTTTTTTCTCTTTATCTATTAGCTTTCCTTCTTTTTCTTCTTCTTCTTAATTTTATTTTCTGCCGAAGCCAATATATTTTCTAAATTTATTCCATTCGTTTTCTTTTTAATTATCTTTCTTAAGTTTTTCTCTTCCTTCTTTCTTCCTTTCTTAACATAAAGATCTTACTTCGATAATAATATACGTTAATATATACAAAACGTATATAAAAA